AATGTGACGAACAGGTTTCCTATTTCCCGTAGGATAACGGAATTTTGTGAAATCAAGAGCAAGTGGCTCCCGCTTCTTGGATTTAGGATGAGGAGTCGCCTCTCGCCCTTGAACTGGCTTCCTCTTCAGTGAAGTGGAAGGTTTTTTGGCCGACTGCTCTCTGACTGAAGCAGGCGGCTGTTTGTTGATCAATTCTTGAATCTCTCCCTTGAAGCCCCTCATGAAGGTCATGAGTTCGTTCCTTGTGATGGGAGCAGACCCATCAGTCGGCTGTTGCCCGAGCAGGCTGGGCGCCTGCTGGCTCGCTTCCTGTTTGAAGATGCTCCCGTTCCCCCCTTTCGGTATGGACGGGTACGTCGGGCCCTTAGGGTCCCGTCTGGAGCTGTATGAGTTTCCACTTCAAATTCACTTTCGGTGTCATGGTCCGACTGAACTTGAGGGTCGTCTAGGGGACGCCTCTCTTCAGGAGTCGGTACAGACTTGGATGCCATCTCAGAAGTACTCTCCCCACAGACGGCGCCAAATGTTTCGGGGTTTTCTGATGTCCTGCGGGAGAGTTACAACACCGAGACTGGAACCGGCCGCCTGTATCTGCAAAATAACGGAGACTCCTGAGAGCTCAGCCTCCAACGGTCAAGTTAGTACCTGTTTGAGGAGTAATAAATGCGAAAATTAAAGGGGGGAGATCTGGTTCCTCTAGGGGAGGAGTGATCAATGTGTTTAGACTTCTCTAGGTGAGAGTCATTCTGTTGAATATGGAGGCTAATGACATGTTTATATAGCCTCGAAGTATGTGCCCAATACTAGGTTTTCTGGGAAAACCTAAGACTGATTGGGCTTGCCTCGGGAATTGGGCCTGCGATGGCCGTTTTCCAGGTTGGCGGATAATGGGCCAACATGATGTGACCTGATTAGTCCATGTTGGACCTATTAGGGTGACAAGTGACGGACGCTGATTGGCCCACGTGGTGGACACGTGGCAGGTCCGGATTGGTCCATTTGTCATGGGTAATTTTACCCTAAACACTATTAATATATAATTTGTTTCCTTTTTCATGAATATTTTGTTCTATATTCTAAAATATTTCTATATATTATATTAAAGCTCATGTGATGTATGGTTATTTTATTTATATAAAATTTTGTATATTTAGGCCCTGTTCACTAGTAAAAATCAATAACTTTTAAAAAAAATATAATAGAAAATCAGTAAAAAATAATTTCAATTCAGCAAAAATAATTTCGATTCAGTAATATTAATTTAAGTCTAGTAAAAATAATTTAAGTTCAGCAAAAATAATTTCAGTTCAGTAAAAATAAGGTGAAGCGAACGGGGCCTTATTATGATCTCTTGGTCTATAAACTTTTTTTTCTATTCTAATTTCTTTTTTACATAAATCTCGGGAAAAAAAATTTCGTTAACTCTATTTTTTAAATAATTTGATTAATTATTCGTTAGTTTTGAATAAAAAAAAACCTAGGATATATTGATTAAATTTCCAATAGTAAGGGATATTATTTTTTTCACTCTATGAAAAATTTTAAATGCAATCTTATTCGTTCATATTACTTATGTGTCACTTAAATTCAAAAAATATTGTAAAAAAAAAAACTCATTTGCCAAATATCCCTACACTTATATCTCTATTTTTTTTTATTATTATTTTTATTTATTTTTTTACTGCCAATCTGCCCTAATAAATGTTAACTGCCTCATTTTTTTTAACTTTCAATACAAACAATAGTGTACACCTGGGTATTTATACCTCTAAAAATTCTGTTTACATTTTTATTCCAACTTAATTTCCAAAATCTTTTATTATATAGTCAGTTGATTGATTATAGTTATAATGATTAGATGAGATCGAAGGTTATTGATACAATAGTATCAAGTCAATTCGATTGACAAAAGATAACTCAAAATATTGTTTCAAGAAATTATAGACTATAATTAAAAATCCAGATGATATTTTTCCTATTGAGGTCATTGTTTTTTATTGTTCTTTATAAGATTCAGGATTTTGGTTATAACTAATTTGCTACCATTAATGCTATTAAAATCTTAGTCAACCTTTTTGTTCACGTCACTTGAAATGTTGAAATCAATTATTACTCAATGAAAATATCAAAAAAATAAAAATATAGACACACCAGAATACGACATGTGTCTATGTTGTGTCTTCTACTCCATTAGTATAATTCGAGGTCTGATTAGGAAACATCTTGTTTCGAACACAGGAGCCTTGTTCTCTTCACTTAATTACGGTTGAACATAAATTAATTTTACTGAATAAAACTTGTTCTTACCAATTCTCTATTATATTTGTTCTTTACAGTCACTGATTTTTACTGATTAAAAAATAATTTTTAATGAAATGAATTTTTTTTATTGAACTGAAATTATTTTTACTGAACTAAAATTATGTTCACTAATTAAAAAAATTTTTTATTGATTCTCTATTGTATTTTTTTTTACTAATTAAATTTTTTTTTACTAAACTAAAATTATTTTTGCTGAACTAAACTTATTTTAACAAATTGATTTATTTTTATTGAACTGAAATTATTTTATACTGAATATTATTATAGGGATTGGTGATTTGATGTTTAAATCTTAAGAACCCATGATAGAGCTAGGTATGAATTAGGTCATGCAAAACATGTGTTGTGTATTGTGTTTTAAAAGGGAAAGTGTCGCTTTGTGTCAGCCTTTTCCCAATCTTATTGTCCGATTTATATGTTGTGTCATGTCATGCTAACGGATGACTCTATATTATTTTATACTTTTTGTACATTTGTCAAAAAGTGGGCTAACATGCGGTCATGCCAAATTTTTATACTTTTTGTTAGGCTCATGCCAAATTTCTAAAAGACGTTCATGCATAGTCCACGGTCCACCAAAATACCTCACGTGCCGATGTGTTGTGCCGTGTCGGACTTCTGATAGGTTTATATCAAGTCATAAAATTTTGTGTTGTACTTATGTAATTGACCTTTATGTCGATTCAACCCATGCCCAGTTCATACCAAAGCCTTAATTTAAGCTGTTAATTTAGCATCCATATATAATCGAGAGATTTTTGTTATTGTGACCCTCTACGCCTAAGTATTCCTCAACGACTTGTATTGGACTTCCTAACTCCATTAATCAATTATTGGAAGCAAAAAATGTGTGCACACATTTATAACAAATATGTCAACATATAGGATAGAAAAAGTGTAATATTGGGTGCATTGACTAATGTATGTATTTTTTTTAAAAAAACAAATTATTTAATGGGTCAATGGTTTTTTTTTTTTTTTTTTGTCCCCTTCTTCTTTTTGAGGCAACTTGAAACAACCTATATGGTCTCAATAACAACATACTTGCATTAGTTGTATTACATTATTACTTGTATATATCTACAACCAATTATCAATAAAAAATAAATAAAAAATCAATTCACATTGTTTTCTCTTTCTCACTCTCTTTTTTGATAAGAAGGTTACTAATATTAATGTATCATCAAAGAAAGCTTAATTGTAAGCATATAATATGTGATGAATCTAATAATGTAATATTAACATAAGAGTAGAAATATTTGAATGATTGATAGGAGTTATATGATGATCTTTTTCACTTTCATGGTGCCCTTAAATTCCCTCCACTTGTGAAACGATAAAATGAATAGAGATTCTTCTTTTTCGTGTAATAAAATGGGTTCTTTGTCCCCTTGATCTATTCTATGTTTGGTATGGAGATGGATCCAATAAACCTTTCTTTTATCATTTATGTGGATGCTTTACACAAGAAGCTAAATTATTCCTTTCAATGAGGAATAAAGATAAATTATCTCCCTTTTTGAGAAGGTGAGGAAGGACCCCTGTGTGGCTTAGGTACAAAATCAAAGCCAACAAGAAAAGAGGCTATCAAAATCTAGGAAGTATACAGTACATTTCTATTCGGCAGAATTTTGCACTTTTTCCCCCGAATGATACCTTATGTGGGGGGTGGCAATTCGGTCAATGGTTTAAGTTTGGTTTTCGGGTTGATTTTGAATTGTACTAAAAATAATCAAAATTAGATAAAATCAATACTAATATGAAGTACAAAATAAAAAGATTATGGGTCAATCCTCTTGTCAATTCTCGACCTTTGGCCTGGTTAGATCTAACCATGAGCACATATAACATTTTGTAACGGGTTCTTAGATAACGTAAATAAGTAGCAGCTAGAATACGATACGATATACAAGAGCAGATGTGATTCATGTGAATAAGATCTCAGCAACACCCTAAATTCTTTAGGAAGGAATTTATTTTGGTGGGGGTGAAATAATTAAGGAATGAAAAATAGTCTATATAGGGATAAAATGGGTAAACTACCAGAGGAATTAAGGAAGATAAAAGGGTGTGACTATTTTAGTGCATGGTAAAACCCTGTCACTGAAATTGATGCAACGTTAGAAAGTTTCACCTACCTTAAGAAGCAGCAAATCCATCACCAAATGTGCAGAAAATAAGTTTCCACGAGAAAGTCGTGTCATTATTAGCTGTACCCAGTGCATAACTTACCATTAACCTTTTCCTTTCCTTTCTTTTTCCTTGGGGATTTAACGTACCTAACCTATTAATTAATTAGTGTTATCAACACATTTCATGAAACATGAGCTAACGAGTATTTTTGAGCCTCTATTGTCGTGACTCTAACCAAGCAAAATTATGTAACTAATACGTGGCCCTCGGATGATTTGAGCACATTTTTGTCACAAACATGGAACATAATTTGCTCAATATAATTAGAGCTGCAATTACATGTAGACAAAATGATATTTTTTTTATGGGGATGGGATGATGTGATAAGTACCATAGGTTAATCAACTTGCTTAAACAGTTGAGAATAACACAGATTTCTGTACAACAATAAACTTTCAACTCAATATTCTTAATTCAAAGTGATACCACAAGAAAAGCCCAAACCAAAAGAAGGAAACAATAGACAAATCAGATTGATAAAAACAAGATTACCAGAGGCACTTTGAGAAGGGTCGTCAAATTCAGCTATCTTACAAGGGCAATAGTAAGACGGGGCAGGGAATAAACTCTGCCAGGAGATTTGCATCAACATGCTTGGAATGTATTGCTTCCATGCTTAAAACAACCAAATCTAAACTCAGATCATCAGCAACTTCACCAATTATGGCTGTAGGTTTACTTCCTTCCCCGAGTTTCTCTAGCAATTTAAATTCCTGAAACCCACCTGTCAACTAAAAACAATAAGAAGGGTGCACATATGACATGGATGTCTGATTCAGCTAACTGGCAGAACATGCATAGACTGATGACCCCTGCCTTTAGTAATGGTTGGTTTGGATAAAGATAAACTAAGTATAAATAGCTTGTCTCTACATAATAGACATGATGCAAGAGACTTGCTGGATCAAATACATAATGATATCTAGCAATCACATGTGCTCAAGTGATGAAACAAACTACAATGCTTAGACTCTTCAATCAGATTTAGAACCTTGAGAGGAAACAACACATCAACATTTCAAATAATAATACCCCAAAAAGATGGAATCACTAGGGGGAAAAAGAAGCAAATTTTAGCCCTCCAGATTCATATCAGCCCCTTGTCCTTATCCCTAAATTCAAGTTTAATTCAGATCAAGCACACACAGAATGACATAATGAATGGTTTCATCCTTCACCCCTGTGAGTAAAAGCCAAAATTCCATCGAATATGATAGCTTTTGCATCCTACGGAGTCCCTCACTTCATCCACCTAATATCATTTTGAGCAAGCACAGTAGAAACTAGAAAAGACAAGCAAAGTGTGGGCTGGGGTATTGAGCAAAGGGAGGGAGGATACATCTGCATACCTTCAGATAAATGCCAGCGAATGCTGCCCAACTGTGTTTCATGCTCAGGATGCGACTCTTTTGACTTGTCATCAATAACTGCAATGAGCATAAAGTTCTGGTAGCCAGTAATCTAGCACTAGAAAAAGCCTTTGATAGAAAATTGTTACTACAGCTCAGCAATACATTATTAAGTATTACAATTGCATACAACACCACCACCACCACCATTCATTAGTGACTACCTTGCATCAAGTTGATTGAAGTGAAGTTGTAAAATATGCAGCCTTACTGCCTATTTAGAGTAGCTGAGTCCCAAATTTTGATTCTACAATATATACATATAGTCAGAATACATACCTACAACTGTTATGTCTGCTCCATACTTTTTTGCCAAAGCAGCAGTAGTTGCAGCAGCCTGACAAGAAATTGATTCACGGATGTAGAAAAATGACACAAGTCAAAATTTTCAAATCATGAACAGAATAAGCATTACTTTGAGTGTATAGCATAAATTTGTTTATGTGAGAGACATGTAAATTTGTACAAGGATATAGCTCATGCATCCATGTAATAAAGACGAGTATTGTTTATGTGAGAGACATGTTGCGCTGTAATAGGGATAGAGAATTCAGGAGGAATTTCTCTAAATCATGGACAATGAAATACGGGGTATATAATATGATGCCATCAAAAGTTCAAAAACATTTATCATGAATGTAATTGCTCTATATTACAAAACATATAAAATGATGCCATCAAAACATTTATCATGAAATGTTCATTCAATATTGTTGCACTAAAAGGTTAGAAGAATGCCATAGTGGATAAAATATAACATGGCCTATATCTCCAGAGTCACTGGCTTATTATGATACCTGTCTTGTTCCCTCTGAGAGATATGGATTTCTGTCAGTGATGGGCAGAAGCAAATGTTTGAATTGAGTAAAGGCGTCCACAGCAAACACTGACTTCAGATTCTTGAGCCTTAACCTTAACTGAGAACATCCATCATAGTGGTATTAATTCAAAATCCCTGCACATTATTATTAGTAGTCTACATTCTACAAAAATTTGACTGTATATATAGTTATCAGCAAAGTTAGAAGCCATTTATGATAATTTCCCTTTTGTCTTAATTATATTATGGGCAGCTCATTTAATATGATATATTTCTGTGTAAGTTGCTTTGTATACAGATATTATAATGTAGGTTGCACAGTTGTAGCAACTAAACATATGGTTATAAACAAAAAGAACAGCCTACATGTAATAATATGATACGAAGTTATACAAATAAAAAAAAACGCTCTACTGTAGCATGTTTCATAAATAAATCTCAGATGATTTTTAACTAAAGACTCTTCTAACTAGCGACTCTATCATGGGAAGACAATATAAAAAACACATTAATACATATCATGGTCCTCATCACCAAACTATAGATGTTACCTTTTTTTTAAAAATTAAAATTAAAAAAAAAAACAGGATCTCCTCCCTTCACTCTTACTCAGATACTTCTCTTTCAAGATTCCTACTCTTTTGCTGCCAAATTGAAAACTATTTCTGTGAATATGTATAAACGCACAACCTTTCTAAAACATCTATAGAATTTTCTCTTCAAGGTCACCTTCTAGAAACTTGAACATACATTCTCTATGGAAGCTACTTATAATATCTTAAAAGGCTAAAATAGGTACTGAAAAACATTATCTACACCTGGTCTTCAATGTCCACAGACTTCTGAGCAATCATTCAGCACTCAGCAGGTATAGTCTTTTATAAAAACTTTATAGCCAGAATTAATATCAAACTCACAGCTGTGAACCTAGAATTACTTCAGATCCAATTTCCAAAACCTCATCACAAGGAGGTTGTAACCAGGTGATCATGTGATAAAAAAAACTTGCCAATACAATCCTCAAAAGTAAATCTACATCAACTACCATCACTGATTCCAGAGTAATTGAAGGGGCTAGAAACATCAACTACTGATTAGCCAAGCAACCAACAACAATATCACACACACAATTTTATATATATAAAAAAAAGGTCTATAGCTACCAGTGAAGTAAGGAGGATAGCTTCATCAAACAAGCACTGTCAAACACTCTCTACACTTTCAATCTTCAAAGACAATTTGCTTCTAAGCAATATTCCAGCACAAGTACGATCAATATCGAACTCAGAGTCAGTGTGTTCTAATCACCAAGTTTTCTTTGAATTGGGGTATGGTAGAGACTAGAGACTAGGGAGTAATTTCATCTTAAGCTTTGATCATATCATGGTCTTTCACCGGAGAGGATGTTTTTGGTAATCCACCCAGTTTCCTTTCCTAATTAAAAAACACAGCCATTATAACTTCAGTTTAAAAGCTCATCACATGGAGGTTATGTTCCTCAGGCTACCAAATTGTTCTAATCATTGCGAAACTAAAATAAAATTGCTAATACAATCCACACCAGCATAACTACATGGAGCACTAATCGTATTCCGATAACACCAGCAATATATACCTAGGTATTTGCAGCAGCTAGGAACATCAGACTATCGATGAAGAAGGAATCCAACAATGATGACCAAAACTACCAAGCTATTGATATTGAAGCGACCAGTGAAGTAGAATGAAGAAAACTTCATCATACCTCACATTTCTTGGCAGAACCCTCAAAAATCATGCAGATTACTTGTATAAATTTATACAAATAAATTATTTGTATATTACTAGTTAAAAATAAGATTCTCTAATTACAAATCAAGTTACTTGAGAATCATCATAACAACCTAAACAGAACTTCCTAGTAATTAATCAATCAAATGGCGAGATTTAACAAATTCAAATTGCATAAAACATTAAGACTTTTCTAAAATTACCGAATATCTTGCAATTGAAAGCTACATTCATCAAGAGAAATCCTAATAGCAACCAGATTTAAAATTGTCATAATAAATTGATAATTACACGATTTCGCATACAGTAGCAAATTCCGAAACACAAAGAAACTAAGTTGAATAAATTGAAGGAGAGAGAAAAATACCGGAATGAGCGATTCTTGTGGAGTAGAGAAGCAACAGAGATTGGGGGTTTTGAAATTGAAGGACGAGGTAGAAGATGGAGAAAGTAGAAGAGATAGAAAAGAAGGGGAAGTTTTGAAAGGAGCTCTAGGAATGGTAAAGGGTTCGAATGAAGGAGCAACGACCATGGAGTGAAGAGACGCCATTGGAGAGGAAGTAGTAGGTTTGAGAGGAGAGAGAAAATGGATTATGGTAAGCTCTGGATGTTGCGGTGGGTCGAGAAAGACGAAAAGGGTCTTGTTAATGATGGTTTTGGCACCTGCCCAGAAAATAACAGAGTTGATCTAGAACTGTGGGACTGTTCCCCTGTCAAGTACTCGTAATACTGGGTCTAATCATCTACTCTGTAATGGTATCTTGATACAATGGATTTCATTCATATGATTTTCACCTTATTTAGATGCAATTTAAAATTTGATAACCTTTATCAAATTTGCTTTTTCTAAACTTATCTAATATTTTCTCAAAAAAAAAACCTTGTCTAATATGAATTTAACTAAACTCATTGGACCTAAAGTAAGTTAACTTTAATGAATAAACAGATGCTCGGTTCACTTCACCTTATCTTCACCGAACTATAACATGCGCTCGGTTCACCTTATCTTTATTCAACTTAAATTATTTTGCTTGAAGGTATTGAAGTTAAATTTGTACTAATTCCTTTTTTTACTGTCTTTAAAATTACAAAGAAAAAAAAATTATAAGAATTTACAAGCTCGGTATACAATTTATATAGGGGGGAAAATGGGGCATAATTTGGGGTAAAATTGTAAAAAAGAGTCAAATCGCTAGTGGTTTTATCCTAAGGGTATATTTTGTTCACCTTATTTTCACTTATTTCGGGTGTAATAAGTTCAGTTCAGGAAAAATATGTTCTGATAAGGGTTACCTAAGTACAAATTACAACTAAAATAAGTTTTAATAAGGTCTAATAAGTTCAGATTATTACCCTCTAATTTACATATATAGGTTGATTAGTGGGTGCAGCCTTACATTACTAAATAAAACTTATTTCTATTAAAAATTCATTTTAAATATTAAACAACTTCACCGATTAAGATATGAGGTCTCCCTCGACAAGTTTCATTTATCACGGAGCAAAACCACTATTGGAACATATTTTTATTAAATTGAATTTGATTTTACTAAATATTATTGTAAAATCAATTCTTTAATGTTTAAACAACTTTACCAATTAAGCTACAATGCCCTCCCAATTAATCACCGTGGAGTAGCAGTTAAACCGCTACTTCAAGTAATCCATTTTTAATGACAAAAGTGACACTTTTACCCCTGATAAACATATCACAAAGAAACTTTATGTTCTCTTAATCTACACGGCTACACCGAACATTATTGTGGTACTCCCTCCGTGTTTAAATAAATGAAACGTTTTAACTTTTTACAGCATTAATTCAATTCACTTTGACTAATGTTTGTGATTTATACCTAAGAATAAATATATTCATGTGGGTACTTGTTGGAATCGTCTCAATGAATAGTTTATTACATTAATATTCAATTGTTATAATTTTATTATAAATAAAGATATTTTTAGTCAAAGTTTTGCATTGGCATACATATAACGAAAAATGTTTCTTTTATTTAAACACGGAGGGGTAAATTAAAGGTTACTCACTCACTCGTACTCCTTAGGGAGAGTTTGGTACATGGGAATTGAGAGTGGGAATGAGAATTTTAATCCCAACTCAAAAAAAATATTTTTTTTTGTTAGATAGGACTGGGAATAAAGAGGGAAATGAGATTGAGAATAAATGGGGTGAATTCCCACCATTTTATTACTTATGAAGGATATGTAATAAATGAAGGATAGGTAATAAAAAAACCTTGATTATTAATTGACATTTTTGTCATTAATGAAAAGAAGGGAGGTGAAAAGTTAATAAGGGTAATTTTGTATTTTTGTTATTTATTCCCTTCTTATTCTTATCCATTACCCAAACAAAGTATTGTCATATTTTTACATACTAGTTTAAGTCCTGTGCAACGCACGATTTTACTTTAACCTAATTATGAATTACTATATTGGTATAACAATAATATTTTTTAGAATAAATCAATATTTTTAATTGAAAGAATACTTGAATTTCTTTTCAAAAAAAAAAAAAAAAACCTAGAATTTTATGTTATATATATTGATATCAAAAGCTACTCATATTGATCATCAAACATTTAAAAAAAAAAACGCAAATTTCATGAATATAGGATTTTATATAAGAATGAAATTTTATGTTATTTATAACCCGTGCAATGTACTTATATACGCCATATGTCTCTATTTTGTTGGCATATTTTGACCAGCACAATTTTTTATAGCATACTTTGATCGGCACTAGTGTTTTATACAAATTTAATTGACTTTTTTTTTTTTAATTT